GGGGCGGGGCCTGGGCAGGGCCGGGGCGGGGCCTCAGGCCTGTCCCTCCATGAGGGTCCGGGTCACCGGGCTCCCTGTAGGTGCGACTTACAGGGCTGCCTTTCTGGCCAGCGGCTCCTGGTCGTCCATGTTTTCCTGGAGGACCTGGGGGTCCCTGGGGAGGAAAGTGGGGAACTCGGGGGTTTGAAGGGATCCTGGATGATCACCGGGAGCCCACAGGTTCCCTGACGGACACTAAGATGTCCACAGACCCAGCCTGGAGCCCGGGGCCAGCAGCGGGCAGTGGGGGGCGCAGGCCAGCGGGGAGACAGCCGGCCGGGCTTGCCCTGTTCCCATCTGCACCTGTCCAGGCAGGTAAAGGGCCGCCTGCTGGCCTTACCTGGAGGCCGGGAGGCCCGGGAAGCCCGTCCCGTCCGGGCACACCGGGGAGGCCCGCCGGGCCTGGGAGGACGGTGCTGTTCACGCCGAAGCGGCCTGGCTCTCCGGGCAGGCCTGGCACGCCGGGGGGCCCCGGGGGGCCGGGGAAGCCTCTCGGACCCTGGGCGGGGCAGAGGCCAATCAGGGCGCTCGCTGTGGGGGCCCCGCGGCGAGGCCTCTCGCGCCCGTGCGCCCAGACAGCGGCCAGGCCCCGGCCCGCAGACACTCACGCGGAAGCTCTCCTGGTCACCGCTGAACCCAGACCCCTCCATGTCGATGAAGGTCTGCGGAGAGCCAGACGCTCGCCTGGGGCCCGCGCCCCAGGGAGCCCCACAAACAGCCTGGCCTTCACGGAGAGGGGCAGAGGGCACGCCCGCACCCCCCACTGCTGAGGGAGGCGGTGCCCCACTCCCTCCCTGCACCCCTCGGCCTGACCCAGCAGCCCGAGGCGTCCCGGGAGCAAGGTCAGGGTGGGGCTCACCAGCTTGTCAGGCCTGAAGGGGGGTCCTGGTGGCCCTGGAGGTCCTTGGGGTCCTGGAGGCCCTCTTGGCCCCTCCCCAGGGTCCCCCTGGAGAGAGAAGGTCCTGTCCTGCAGTGCACACGCCCCGAGGGGAGGAGATGGCCCCCCGCCAGGGAACTCACCTTCTCGCCCCTGGGGCCGGCCTCTCCCGGAGCTCCTGGGAAGCCCTGCGGCCCAGCGTCGCCCTGGGAGGACCCGGGCGGGTCAGGCCCGGCGGGCTCCGACCAGGCGGGTCCGGCTGG